GGGTGGGCAGTGCGTGGGGGGGTTGCACTCACGTTGAGGAGAGCAAAAGGTTTGCCTGGAAGATGTCTGTGCTGGTGTGTGCCAAAGCAGCACAGGCCTTTTGTCGGCTGTCGAGCTGCACCTTGTCATGGGGTTATGATGGGGCAGTTTGGGGTGAGGGGAGCGGCTACAGCTCGGGAGTGAAAAGGATGAGTGAGGCTTCCTCTTCTTCAGTGGTCTCTGCTCTTCTGCCCCCGTCCACCCTCACCTGCTGGCAGCACCAGCCCCAGCCAAGGCAGGGTCCCACAGTGGGGTGGGAAGGGGCAGCAGAGGCCCCCAGGGCAGGGAAGTTGCAGCAGGTGCCAGGTGTGAGGGCAGCAGGGACTGTGTATGCGGGTGTGCGTGCAGGCACCCCTGCCCCTTTGGGGTGACGCACCAGGCAGGCAAACGATGAACATGGGCTACAGGCGGGCAGGTGGCCGTTTGTGCCAGCGTCTGCAGCTGCAGTGGTGGCTGATGCGGGGTTTTACGGTACAGGATATGTCTAGTGAGAAAAGTCTGTCTTTGTCTCAAGATGAAACAAAGGTGCCAGCAGCCGAGTCCATGGGATTGTTCTGGAAATTGAGTATTTGCTGTGATCCAGTAGGTGACAGTGTTTCTGGGGTAGGAATCACCTCTGGCCATGGCTGGCCTCAGCATCATCCTGAAAGGGAAGATTTCCACATGTGGAAAATGGACAGCTTTTACAGTGGTCGTCAATCAAAAGCCTTTCCTTTTTCTCCCACTCTGTCTCCAAAATAAATAACCGCATTGAAATTGTAAGAGTATCTCTTTCCTTTTTTCCATATTAATTGATATACTGTAACAAAACGTGGTCCCAGCCGCTCTCCCGCAAACCAAACCTGTTGTGTGTGTAAACCTTATGATATTAATATCCTAACAGCAAAAGTTATGCCGTAAAGAAACTTTACATATGGGCTGAGAGCCTAGCAATGGAGGCCTGCTAGGTAGGAGACCAGGTCTGGTCTCCTGTGAAATACAGAGAGCTGACTCAATTACCCAGCACGCCTCTAAGAGTCAGGTATGAAGGAATGTAAAGTGCAGTATATGTTTCCCAGTTAACACGGTTTGCAAGCCCGGTGTCTGTGAAACGTTACCACAGCCACTTCTCAGTGAAGTGGGTCTCTTCCTAAGTCAGTATTAGACTCAGTAACGTGCCACCCACATGGACCATCTCCATTAAAAAAAATGAAGATGTTGCCTTCCCGCTTCTGAACCTGCCTGGTTGAAGGGTATGCGTGTCTGGGGATCCAGCAGACATCCAGGTGCTGCTGTAATGGAGAGCATAAGGCTTTGGGGCCCTTTCCTCGGGAGGGATCCACATTGCGCACCTCCCAGGGGAGCACTGCAGATCTCTGGCTACCAGTCATGTTGGAGGCAGGACCATTCTGCTCTCCCTGCTTCCACCAAGAAGAAAAAGAATTCAAGATTCATGGGGCCAGAAGGGGGAGCAAAAAATGTGTGTGCACACAAGAGTGTGTGTGTGTCTGTGTGTGTATTTATATACATATAGGCATACATATACAGAAAGACAGATACGTGTATACAGACATACATGATATTGCTCTGGTGGGAGCAGTTGGGAGAGGGAGACCTATCCCCTGATCCCCTATTTCATTGATCGCTACAGAGAGTTTGTTGGTGTTTTGCTGTGTTGTTTGTTTTTTTATGAAACAGATAATGGGAAAAAAAAAAATCTGCAAACAGTTGAGGCTTTTGGAGGCCTTGTCTGGTTAAAAGACGAGCAGCTAAAGGGTTAGGGATTTTGCGACTGCACTTCTGGGCTGGGATGCCTAACTTGTGCGTAAGTCCCTCCTCAGGCTGGAAGCCTGTGTGCGGAGCTGGGGCCCTCCTTGCGCTCCAGAGCCAGTGAAGTCATTCTGTTGACTCCAGTGAGCTTTGGATTAAATCCGTAAGCGTGCTGGAGATGTATTGTCCTGTGGGTGTATTGTGTAAAAAGAAACATAAATAACAAATAAAACTGTGAACACGAAAAGACAGGTGTTACCAGGTGCGATTGGCCAGGGCCAGATGAGGTGTGTGCTGAAGCTGTTTCTCAATGGTTAGAAATAGAAGAAACTTGGACAGTAAACACTGGCCGCCTTTAAAAGAAAAAGGTGCTTCTTATCAATAGCTGTTCAGTTGTTTGTTGGGATTTCCTATAAAGAAAAGCACCATTGTTTGGATGCATCTGATGCCATTTACTGCCACATGTTATTTGTAATGTACATATGGAAAAAGATGTGCAATATATTACCCCAAGGTGGCCTGTCTGTCTTGTAAATGGCTGGTACCTTTGAGATATAGGATTATTAAACACAGGAGAAACCTTCTAGTTGGTTACACAGAACAAAAGACTAACATAAAGCTGCAAATGCAGCTTTTAGGATCCCCTCTTAAAGAATCACAGAATGGTTTGGGTTGGAAGGGACCTTAAAGCTCATCCAGTCCAACGCCCCTGCCATGGGCAGGGACACCTCCCACCAGACTGGGTTGCTCAAAGCCCTGTCCAACCTGCCCTTGAACACTTCCAGGGAGTGGGCATCCACAACTTCCCTGGGCAACCTGTGCCAGTGTCTCACCACCCTCACAGTAAAGAGTTTCTTCCTAATATCGAGTCTAAATCTACCCTCTTCCAGGTTAAAACCTCTTCAGACAGAAGAAATGAAGGATGGCACGGGGCAGTGAATGTTTTTTTTGTTGCTTTTGTCTTTCTAGCTCTCAGGATATGTCAGTAGAAAAGCGTGTTTTAATGCATGCACTCCGTCTTCAGCTTGGCACTTAACGCCATACCCCATGTGCAAATCTTATTAAAGCATCATAAATGGCTCTGCCAAAGTTGCTGATTGCCGTGTAGGTGGCAATGCTTTGTGGGACCTCAGCGTGGCTGCCTGCAAGATCTCCCTGTCACACAGGTTCCTGCAACCAGCAGGAGCGCTGGCTGTTGTAGCCACTGCCTCCTTTACGTTGTGGCTGCCTGGTGTGTTGTGGAGTGACAAGTTTATTAGAGGCTCTGTAGTAGTAGAGAAGAGAGCATTGGAGTTAGTCACAAGTGTGTGTTACACAACGAGTTGGACCATGTGTGCTTTGAGTCTGTTCTATGGGGCTATGTCTTACTCTCAGGTCTGAAGTTTGGTTGAAATGTCTTTGTTATTTACCTGTTTATTTTGAATTGGTTCTGTAAGTTGACTATTTTCAGGATGCAATTCTTTGTATAACAAGAAAAAAAAGAAGGAAAGAAGCATGCTGAAGAGCAGGCTGGAAGGGGATATAGCTGGTGGAGCATAAATTTTAGGCACTAAACATCGCTGTTAATGGTGTCTGGAGATTGTTAATACCCTTACAATACACAGCATCATGGGTTTGTTCGAAACTTAGAAAAAGCAACAGATGGGGACTGCCTGCACAGAGGCTGTATGTGGTGATTTATCGCAGCAGGCAGCTAAATACCACGTAATTGCTTGCTCATTCCCCCCCTCCCCAGTGGAGTGGAGGAGAGAATTGGAGGAGAAAGGCTGGCACAGTCATGGGTTGAGATAGAAACAGTTTAATGATTGAAATAAACTAAAGTAATAATAATAAATTGTAATAATAACAATGATAATAGAACACATGAAGTTATACTCAGCCCATATAGTAGTCGTGGGCTGCGCGCTCCAAGCAGTGAAAGTTGTATAAAAGATAACAAACACTGCAAACACCGCGGCTCCAGCAAAAATATGACAGTCACAACAAGCCGGGGAGTAGGCCTTGGGAGCAGAACGATGGGTGAGACCCTCCAGACATCATGACCATCCAGGAAAGAGAATCGTCCCCAGCAAACTCCCCAGTTTATAGTGCACATGATGTTTATGGTATGGAACACTTCTGTTGGCCAGCTTGGGTCATCTGCGCTGGTTTTTCCTCCTCCTAGCTTCTGCACCTGGGTAACTCAAAACTGCTAATGACTTCGATGGCTATGGCAATCTGCATACCAGGGCTGGCCAGAAACTAGAACAAATGTCTTTATCAGCTTTGTTCCCATCGACTTGATTGCTGTAGTCTTCTCAAAAATGCAGCTTTCCTGAATAGAAAATTGATTCTGTGAATCTATCCCAGAGAAACCAGGACACTATTATTAGCTTGTGGTTCTGGTGGAAAATAAATGCAGCTTTCAAAGATTTTCGCATAGGTCAGGATACAGCAATATTGTACTTTGGCCTGATAACATCTTAATTGCGTTACAAAAGGAATAAGAGGAGAACCAGCTCATCTCTGCAATTTTGTGGTACTTGGTATAATGTATGCTTTCTGATTGACAACTTAATGGCTTCATTTCATTTTTTAGAGCCTGGTGTTTGAGCTACAGAAGGACTGGCTTGGCAGTCGGTTGTCGCACTTGGCATCTTTTGACTTTGACGTAGGGAACATTGGATGTGATGCAGCCAGTGCGGGGGAAATAACTGTGTTTGTCTTGCAGTGATGGGTTCCCTCTCTGGGCATACAACCTAACATTCCTGGGAGCCGTGCTCAGCTCTGGGCGCTTCTAATCCAACATATGGCTTCCTCCTCGAGCTGTTCAAGAAAAACATATAGAAGGAGATAGAAGTCCCATTGGGTTTGTGTATTCAGGGACATTTTTGATGTAAAGAAGATAAAAAAGCCCAGGTGAGAGAAGCAACGTCATGTTGAAAATTCAGCCAAGAAAGCATCATTTTAAACAACAATATTTACATGAATGCCGTAGTCATATGGTTTTGTCTGATTCTGTTCTTTTATTGCAGTTCTTTATTCTGTTCAAGAGTTAAGGCCAGGTATGGGGAAGGATTTAGAAGTCTCAAGTGGACCTTAGGTGGAACGTAAGTGTGCATCCTTTAAGTGCCTCCGT